AATGTACATCACCTACCCAACTTCCTGAAGCACTGCTGCGATTTAGAGCGCCAGCCAGCCAGCATCGTCAGCAGGACCTCTTTGAGTACATCAACTATATGGGGTACCTTCAAGGAATCGTGGCTATGGTTGAGATCCTGTCAAGGTCAGTCTCTAGGATCAACAAATGCTCCGGTTCAAAATAATCGCTTAAAGGCAAAAAAAGGCAGCTGCGCGCATTGCCATGATCGAGTGCCCATGCTGCTCAGATCTCCACACTGCATATGCCATGTTGGCAGTAGGACACGGGCTTGCACCGCGCATTTCTCCAAGCTTCTTTGGAGACTGGAACCTAGCCAGGCTAAAAGGGAGCTAAGCTTCAAGCAGGTACCATGGATTTCCTTCTGCCTACATGCTGAGAGCTTGCAACAAGTCGTTTCCGAAAACAACCTTCCAATTGCGGTAGAACTAAAGAATGATGTCTCAGCTGTGTGCGCAAGGCGAGACAGGCCCGGTTTCGAAGATGCTCGAACCTTAGACATTATTTGAGCATCCTCGTGCCCAAAGAAAAGCCTGTACCTTTGAGAAGCCGCCATTGAATGATAGGCGCCATGCTGGGACATGTAGGCTTGTGCCTGGCCTCAGTAAGGAGAAAGCTGGCCTTGCTTCGGACATGCTGCGCAATGCCGCCCAAAACTTCCTGGTGCTTTGCAGAGCACAAGCGCACGGATCTCTCTGTAGCGGTGGTCCCCATTCTAGGTGTGCGGCAGAAGTCTGGATGAGACTGGCAGCGGGGAGAGTACAAGCACGGCAGAAAAGGCATTGCCTCAGCGGAGCCTCCAAGAAGGAGATGGAGCTGTCGATCTTGTCAAGAACCTGGCACTGCCCAGAGTGGAGACGAGTAAGCAATGCAAACTCTCATGAGCCCCTTGCAGATCCCAGCTCCGTGTGATGAGCCTCTGACGACCTGTGCACTGCAAGATCCTTTCATGCCTTTTAAGCGTTCGCTGAGGCGAAGGCGTCGCGGACACTGTGGCGGTCTTGGCGGGGCGGCCACAAGGAGCAGGGGACACACCATGTTAATACCGCCACCAGGGCAGCCTGGTGTGGGTCTCTGCCCTTGAGGTCCTTGCGTTAGAGAGGAAGCCGTTGGCTGCATGGTGGTCCAGCACACACCTGAGGTGGACTGCGTGGGATGCCTCATGCTCTGCCGGGAATGGGCATACGTTTTCGGGGAGTAAGCAATTCACAGCAATATGTGAAATGCGCTGAGGAAACGCTATTGGCCCGGGATCAAGGCCAGCCAGCATTCTGATGACTGCTCAGCAACTAGCCTGTATTTTGGCAATGCCTTATGCTCTGGTCCATTACAAAATCCTTTCAAGTGCTCCTGGCATGTGGGTCCTGGGGCATGTTACGATGTAGACCGGGGGGGTGCCCCGATGCACCATCCTTTTCCCTTTCTGCACAGCGGCCAAGAAGGCGCTTCTGTGGCCTGTAGCAGAAAGTTGCGAAACAGCCAAGAACAAGTAATTCTTCGGCTCAAAGGCCAGGTCGTTATCCTCGTTGAAGGAAACAAAAGCCTGGTGACATGAAACGGCCAAGTCCGACATATGTCTTTCGGGGCATTGGAGTGGAGATGAACCAATGTTCGGAGGAATGCCACAGCTTTTTGAAACTGATTGCTTGGGGCCTGGCGCAACATCGGCAACGCGGTCAAAGTAGTCGAGGGTCTCGGCCAGGGCCTGCTCAGTCCCACGTTGAGCTGCAGTGCAATCGACTTCCCCCCGACTGTCCTTGAAGGATGCCAGTGCGATTACGTCATATTCCGGCTGACTACGGGTACCACTCCCGAGTGGACTCCATGCCGGCAGCCAGGAGTTGCCAGGAAAGCCGGTGGTTTCCGAGGCATGTGCACGCTGTGTCACGCAGTCACAGTTTAGAAAGGCTTCTGCTTGAATCGCTTGACCAATGGCCTCAGCCTCCGTGGCTAGTCTCTCCTGGTCCTGGTCAGGAGCACTCTTCGCTCATGCTGTAGCTTTCAAAGTTTGGCATGCTTTTTAGCGGAGCCTGCACCATCTGCTCGCACTGCTCGTGAAGGGCAGTGGTCTTGCGGAGAACCTCGCTTGTCGGCGTGCTGAAAAAATACACGGCACCACAGCACGAGGTCATAGTCGGGAGCATTCTTGTCACAATCATTCTTACAATTGCTATTCGTATCAATGGTCTCCTTTTACTTCACGGCAAGGCTTTGTCAGTGCTACGGCTGGTTCTAGCCTACACTCGGTGATATCATCAGCATGCCCCCAGCTTCACTGAAGCCCAGGAAAGCAAACCAAGGAAGCCTTGGACCTAAGGGAAAATGCAAAACAAGATGTGCCCAAAGTAGGGTTTAGCGTATATTCCCCAAATATAGGATCCTTCCGGTGCAGCAGAATAAGCAGATCCTTCTTTTGCATGAAGGGAACCTTTTTCAAATACCAACACGCCAAAGATGTGCCATTGAGCATCTGGCATCGCATCTCTGTCGGTCCAGCTCTGTTAGCTGGTCCAAAACAGCATCGAGCCTTCAGCCACATGCCGCGTTCTCAGAATTGCCCTGCCGCGCATTCTAAATCGTGCTTTCCACCAGGTAGCGGAACATGATGGGATCCATAGCGTGAAGACCCCGACAAAAGCATTCCACAGTTGCGAGATGCTTGGGCAGAGTGTGAACGACACTTGGGATGCCCGTGGGTGAATTCTCGCAGCGAGTTCTTGGTTCACAAATCTCCTTGACCTTTGCTTTTTTGGGGGGGCCCCTGCTTTTGGTTCCTGAACTTCTGAGAATGCAGCTCTCCGCAGGCAGAGTCACAGATCTGTTGAATGCGATAGATCCTGGCTGACGGGATGTGCAGATGATAGCGTAAGGCCCCAATATCATTTGACGAATTATCAGCATCCTCGTAATTTTGCACTGCCCGTCAGACTGCTGTTCTTGCGGCAAGCGGAACCCCGCGCAGTCCATCGCCATCGCCCTCGACGTCTGGAGCCCTGCATGGGGCCATGTGGATTGCTTTGGCTTCTGTGCACTGGAGCAAGGAAGGAACTCTAAAGTTGAAACATTTCAGGGTTGCTGCTGTGGCTTGCTCAGGCTTTGGTCAGCGACTGCGTGCCTCTCGGTCTCTCCTCCGCAAGCGCACGGAGTGCCAGTGTGCGTGAAAGGCCTGATCGTCCAACAGACTCTATGCAGCAGCCAAGCTCTACAGAGACTTTGCCTCAAAGGGCGTAGCTTCCACAGGCTCCGCATCCTTGGATGGCACCTGTGGAAGCATCCTCTCTCTCTCTCTCCATCTCTTTTCCTGTCCCTCTCTACCGGTGATGATAAAGCATTACGCCGAGGCGGTTACCTGCGAAGGCGCACCTGGGGCAAGCGGTGACAGGGAGACTGCACCCCTTTGTCAGGCTGGTTGTCTGAGCGTCTCACTGCTGCTGACTGCGCTTGCCAGCTCATCCAGCAGTGCCACTTGTCCTCAGTCACACGTTGCTGTCTAAAGATGTTGCCACATTAGCATACAATGGTTTATCCAGAATACCTACATATCTGCCCAGCAGTTGCACGAATACTTTGTGCACATAAATGTACTTTCCCGTCACAAAGGATAAGACTTTGAATCCCCAAATACCCAGGACGCCCGGCGATCCGAGAGAAGGAGCTCAGGCAGCGAGGCCATGGCCAATGCGCCCCGGGTCTAAGTTTCCAATCCCTTCCCGCTTAGCATCAGCTGCTTTCCATCTCCTTTTTTTGGTACAGCAGCTTGATGCGCATACTAGAGGTACGCACTTTTTGTCATGCCCCCAGTTAGGTACGTGGAATCCATGGTTGTGGGCTGCCCGTAGAGGGGGGGTCGCAGCACAGGCCCGAGTCACTTCAAGCTCTCAGCATGCATGCAGGCTCGGGGGAAAAAGTCGAATGGCAGTTTAGAAACCTGATGTTGCCAGGATCTGTGGTACAAGGTAAAACTGGAAGCCAAATGGCCCAAGCATGGATGTCCTGTTCACATCATTGGGTTTGACCGTAAGATAGAAAAGCTTACACCTGGCTGTGCTAAACTTCCGTATCTTTGCAACTAGTTATGCGACACGGTTAATCTGATCGCTCGAAGTAGCTGTTTGTCAAAGGCCAAAATAATAGAAGTGTGCTTTCCTGTTTGAATCGACAGTCGCAACATGACCAGGCGTGCTCTGGCTTGTGGAAGCAACCGCGTCTTGGAAGCAATTCGTCGCGTCGTTTGCTTTCTGCTTCACATGTCGAGTGAGCAAAGTTGGGCTTTGGCACTCAGAGCTGGAGAGCAGGGCTGCGATCTTTTTGCGGATGCAGACTGGGCTCACGCAAATCAAGATGGCAAAAGGCGCACGAGCTGCTGGTTTGCTCGAGCTAAGCTCTGAGCCCTACTCTGCAAACAGAAGATTTTCTGCTTCTGACAAACCCTGACTGGAGGGTTGTTTGGGGAAGGATCCCTACTGCTGGGTAACTTCAAGCAAATGCGGAGCTCGGCTCGCTACAGCTCTGACGCGCGCTTATCATGAAGACATCAAGCAGAGAGGAGCTGAGGTCTCTTTTTGCTCTATCACCCCAAGCTGGGCGGTTTAGGAGAGGGTGGGCTAAAGATGTGGCAGCTCCTCTTCAAGGAGCCTACTGAGACTATTCCGCCGCTAAGCTCTCAGCGAATCCGGGTCTTGCACCTCAGAAACGACCCTTCGCCCTGAAAAGCCGCGTCCTGTTCTCAGAGACATGTCCTCAAGCCAAAACATCATCACATCGACATCATCCACATTCTTGGCCCTAAAAGCTGCGAAGTCTTTGAGAAAACGCTTTCCTGTCCTCCTAACTTCTAACCTACCCTCATCCAAAAACTAACATGGACTGTGGGTTATATGGGGGGGTTTCAGGGGAAGGGACGGTGCAACAGCTCAGGGCCCTGCGACACTTCCCGCCGCTGCCCAGCTTCGCTTTCAGAGCCTGAGTCTTAAGATGAGAACCAATCAATAATGGATAATCAAATGGAAACTACTATAATATATAGGGTTATAGAGGGATTATCTAGGGATAATACTGGGGTTATATTGGGACATTCGCTACAAAGAATTAATGCACATGGCCTCCTTATTGAGGACTATACTGAAAAGTATACCAAGTTACATGAGGATCCACTGTTGAAGGCCTTTGAATAAGGCAAATATGAACAGTAGCTTATATGAGTACTATTGTGGGGACTGTGCAAGGATTATTGAGGATAGTACGTGGAGATTACTTTATGCAAGAATTGTTCCGAGGATGTGCTCCCGAACACCCCTTCAACACCAGGAACACGAAAAAGCCAATTTACGGTTTGAATGCAAGGTTTAGAGTTCAGCGCTTGAAAGTCTCAAAATGATCGCCTTCTTAACAACTTGGGGGAGCGAAAGATTGCCAAATCTCGCCGAATGCAGAATAAGAGGCATGTCCGCTCTTTACACAAGAAGGAAACATTGTCGCTACAATACAAAGAAACTTGATTGAACGCGCCTGGAGAAGGAACCGAGATGGGGACGTTGAGCCATGCCTTTAGCTCACTCATCATCTTCGTCGTCATCGTCGTCCACTGGCTTCTTGGCCACCTACAAACGAGACAGAGCTGGATATAAAATCAACAGATGCTGAAGTCATGTCACGAGAGTCATCCACCATGCGTGCCGAGGCAAGCGGAGTGCGCCTTGGCCTTCTTTGCTGGCCTCTCATCCTCCTCGTCGTCATCAGAGTCGAAGGTCTGCTTAGTGCCTGAAATCGACTAGAAGCTAGAAGCTCGTGGCCAGCTCATCGGCTACAATGCCAATCAGCGCTGATCATTGCACCAAGACTAGCTTTCTGATGGGACCACAAACATGCAAACTGCAAAGAGAATCAAAACCCGAGAGGCAACTGAATCATCATCCTGCTGCTGCGTGTCGGAATGGACTTACAGTGATGATCCCATTATTCATTTCCCTCATTCCTTACAAAGCACCAGGAGGGATTCTCTAGCTCTGGCCTGTGGACTCAACCTGGGCAAGCAGGGCTGTGAGCTTAGAAGTGAACCACTAGAGTTGGGCATTTCTTCGTGTGAGTGTTAAAGGGATTGGGGACGCTTCTGAGAACTTCGAGCACTGCCGAGGCAAAGGTGGCCTTCAGGGGCTCTGGGCGATGTAAGGTTTTCATCCCTCAGCAGATACGGCAAGTCCTGCCACTGGAACTCATGTTGGTACTGTGCGGTACCACTATCAGAGTTCTGGTTCTCGCTGCCAAAGGGGCTTCAAGTTAAACCGGGGACCCGACCATGGTTCCATCCTGCAGCAGCAAAGGGAGGAATGGGTGGAGTCTGAAAATTGTAGTCTTCTTGCGAGACCTCATCCCAAGTTAAAAGCAAAGCAAATTGCAACTTCAATTCTGGGGAGACCTCGATTTGAACAAAAGTAGCCAAATGATAATAAGCAGCAAGGAGGAAGCAAGAGCTCACACCGAAAACTCGCAGCCATCATGACAGCAAGGAGAAGTTAAGAAGGTTGAAGTTGAAGACAAGAAAGTCTGTGATGGCGTCCTTGGCAGCTTTGCTTGCAGGGCTCGCCTTTCCCTTTTTACCTTCGCCGGGTGCTCGCTGATGGTGCACTGGCAACTGGCTGGAGGTCTCAAAACAGGAGGTCTCGTGGGATTAGAGGATGCCATGGGAATATGGGGTTCTCATCCGCAACAGCCCACATTGTGCTTTCAAAAAGTGGAAAAGGGATGGCAATCCTCACATAGCCCATGGTGAGCCTTTTCCCTTGCCCTTGTCTTTGCCCTTTCCTTTGCCATCCTTTCCTTTACCTGAAGACACGCGCACAACATCAAGCCCACGAAGCTCAGCATGATTTCAACTGCTGGGTTCCGGGATGTCTGGGTTCCGACTTTGATGCTATCATCGAGGGCAAGGGCAATTGTGTTTCATAGGCCTTTTCCATCTTTGCCCTTTCCGTCCTTGCCCTTTCCCTTGGGGCCTGAGCAGGGAGAGCGGCTACCATTTCAGCCGCCAAAATGATATATGAGCTATAGCCTAAACTCCTTAAAGGAGGGTCATATAGGGGATTAAATACAGGACTACCGCAGGGGATATGGAGGGGGATACTAGGAGTTTAGACTACAGCTCATATGATACAAGAAACTGAAGCTATCAATATCTCGGCGGAGCGGGGCGTCCCTGCCTTCGCTCGCCTTGCTGACGTAGATCCTTCGTCCATTGTAGTCTGTCTCGTTGAACTCGAGGGCCTTCTTGACAGCCTGCAGATCTTGAAAGAACATCCCAAACGTGCCGAAAGCCAAAGCACTTGCTAAGTGGATTCAAAAGAAGAGCAGCCTCCTCATCCTTGAACTCGATGAATGCGAAGCCCTTGAGGTTGCCTTCCTGGCGAAAGGGAAACTCGGAACTAATTCTAGTCAAAAACCTTCTCCCAAAATTCCCTGATATTGAGGCAGCACAGGACTGCACATTACGCAGCCATGTACAATCCCACACGCTTGTAGAAACAGGTCACCATCCGCCTTCCTCAACAAACACATTCGGGCAGGACAGGAGGACAGACTCTGCAAAAAAGATCCTTCCAGCTATCCCTGCCAGCTAGAAAGTCCCAGAGGTGGCCTCGTTCTTTGGCACCCGGCACGAAACCAGCTCGCCACACTCCTCAAAGTCCTGACGCTAAGCCATGGGGATCAATGCTCGTGGAAATTGAGATTTTGGGATGTTGGGTGGGATAGGAGGCCTCGGCCCTGCCCATACAGGGCAAGGTTTGAGATCCAAGACAATCTGTCACCCAATGGCAACCCCAGAAAAAGCAATCCCGGATGCAACCACCTGAAAGACATGACGAGTTGCTTAGAATCACACAGAATACAACTCTTGATCCATTTTTCTCTGACATTTGTTCAGGAGTAATTAGTGGAGTCTGATGGAATGCATTGCCGCATGATGGTTCCGTGGAAGTTGGGTCCGTCTTGATGGTCTCTTCGTCCAGGGTCCACGCCAGACCTGCGCGTCACATACACCAAGCGTCTCCGAAAAGAATGTGTGTGTGTGCGCGTCTCTGAAATGGCTTTTCCAAACCTGCCATCTGAAACTTGAAGCAGCGAAGCAACTCCTGAGCCCTTAAGGCCAAAGCCCTTCACGTGGACTGTGAGGTCGTTGTTCTGATCGCTTTTTCCTTTGCCTTTATCCTGGGAGCCGGGATGCGACGAGTCCCTCAAAATCAGCACTACCTTCTCCTGGAGAGCTGAGGGGAACCCAAGTTAGAAACCTTCCTGGTCATAGCGCAGCTGAGAAAGTGGCCTTTCCTTTGCCTTTGCCCTTATCCTTTCCTGCGCAGGGCCGAAACGAGTAAACCATGGCAGCTTCTCCCAGCTGGACACATGCTTCGCTGAGAGTGCTTTTGATTGCGCGACATTTGCACAAGAAATTACGTAAAGGCTCTTCGGTACTCACTGCACAGGGTTTCACTCGAAATTCCAGGCAGTATCACAGGCTTCTCAAAATCATAACATGTCTGCAGCACGTACTTGAGCATGCTCCCTAATCTTCGAAATTGCCCTTAGAGTTGCAAAGCGAATTCCGTGCCACCAATATCACACAAAAGCACACCAGCACCATCCCGCGAGAATAGGATCAATTCCTATCGCTGAGGCCGTGTCCTTTGCCCTTGCTCCCCTTGTCCGAGGCCAAATTGACCTCCCGGGCCGCATAGGGTGTGCTAGAGGCTTACTTTCGGCATCACCCCTGGCTGGTGTGCAGGGGGGCCCTGTGACTGCGAAATTCTAACTTCAGTGAGCCTCGGTCGCATTCATGACTCGAGGAAACAAGGTGCCTTGAGGGTGCGTCCACCGTAATCATCTCCGTTGTACTTCAGGGCTGCCTCCACGCCTTCAAGGTTGCCAAGCTCAACATGCTGCGGCTGCTTGTCAGCTTAAACAGCGTTACTTGGCCACAGGGCAGATTGGGCATCACACTGCACGAGCAAAAGCTGAGTGAGCTTCTGAAAAACAAGGGTCCCTTCTTACTTTCCTCCCAGCACCTGCAAAGTCATAAGACGGACTCGACAAAATAGATCTCTTTTGTAAGGTGCCAACCCTGACCCCCATAAACCGCATGCAGCCTTCTTTGGTCTTGTACTGAATGAAGGCGATGCCTCTCATGCAGGTGGCTTTGCAAGCTGTGGCTTCGAAGGTAAGTCCAACCCCCCTATCACATACCATACCAACCCCGTCCCCACCATGGGGCTCTCAGCCTACTCATAGTAGTCCCTATACTCCATTGACAAAATCTGTCTTGCTCTCGTTCTTCTTCTCTGCGCTATACGCCCGAAAGCCCACAGCACAGGGTCCCTGTACAAGGGTGAGGTGCGAATCGGACGACGCCAATCGGAAAACGCCTAGGGCGGAATCGAACGCACGGTCTTGACGAATCGGCCGACGCCTCCAGCCGAATCGGAAAACGAGCCAGGCCGAATCGGATGACCCCACGGCCGAATCAGAAAACGCGAAAAGCTCGAAATGGCCGCACAACGAAAGCAAAATCAGAGATCTGTTCATCTACGGCATCTCAGAAACTGAAAATTTTAAAGTTTAGTCGTTAGGTCGTGCCCAAAGGTTCGAAATCGGCCGCGGAGAATGGTTCGAAATCAGACCCCGAAAAAGCTTGAAATAAGCCCCTCTCCGAAAACCTTAGCAAGAATTGTTCATGTACAGGATCTCAGAATGAGCAAATTTGAAAGTTTGGTCGTTAGGTCGTACCGAAAGGTGCGAAATCGACCCCGGCGAATAGTTCGAAATCAGACACCGAAAAAGCTCGAAGTGAGCCCCCCTTCCGAAAACCGTAGCACAATCGTTCAAATACGGCATCTCAGAAAAAGAAATTTGAAAGTTTGGCGGTTAGGTCGTACCCACAGGTTCGAGATCGGCCCCGGAAAAAGGCTCGAAATCGGACCCTGAAAAAACTCGGAATGAGCACCCCTACCGAAAACCTTAACAAGAGTCGTTCATGTACGGCAGCTTCAGAAAAAGAAGATTTGAAAGTTTGGCGGTTAGGTCGTGTCCAAAGGTTCGAGATCGGCCCCGGAAAAAGGCTCGAAATCGACCCTGAAAAAACTCGGAATGAGCACCCTTCCGAGTTCATGTACAGCATCTCCAAAGAGAGAACTTGAAAGCTGGTCATTATAAGTGACAAGAGTTCGAGATTTGCCCCGCAGAAAGTTTCGAAATCAGCCCTGAGGAAAGGTTCGAAAACGGCCCCGTGTCAAGGATCGAAACAGCGCCCTAACCAAACCCGGCAACATCTATGCGATCTCGAACAAGAGAAAAAGTTTCATCGTGAGCTCGTGGCCGAAAATGCCACCTCTCACCCGTAACCCCACAGAACCTACCCCCTAAAACCCGAAACTCCCGAACCTTTCCCCCCCGAAAACCCCATACACTCGAGACCCTAAACTCCCAAACCCCCACACCCGAAAAGTCCTGAACCCTCAAAACCATGGAAAACCCTTAACCCTGAAAGCCCTGAAGGCTAAAAACCCTAAACCGTGGCCTGGAAAATCATACACCCTAAAAGCTCTCAAGCAAAAATGTTAACCCTAACAGCACTACCTAAACTCTAGAACCGACCCTCCAAACTCTGCACCCAACAAAACCTTGACCCAACAAACCTGAACCCCTCAAACCGTAAACACCCTGAATCCTAACTTTTCAACACCCTAAAAATTCTGACCTCCACAACCCTACGTACCCAAAACTCCAAACCCTAAAAACCCGGAACCCTAAAAGCTCTAAACCCCAAAGGCCCCAAACTCTAAAAACCCTAGAGCCAAAAAAAACGCTCAACACCCTACACCATACCCTAAACCCTGCTAAGCCTGAATCCTGCAAACCCTAAACTCCTAAACCCTTGAAACCTTGAACCCTCCAAACAACCCTAGAACCCTAAACCCCAAAAAAACCAGGCCGCGACAACCACAGGAACCTTAAACCTTCAAAACCTAAAACACCATAAGCCCCAAATAGCGGTAGACCGAAAAAATCTGACATCTACATCCCTGAACGCTAGTTCTTCCTACATTGCTCCCCAACTCCCTCCCCCCTGGCTGTTTTTGTAAATTCCAAGCCAGATGGGGAGAACGCTGCAGATCGTAGAACAAAGACCCTGCGACAACTATGACATTCATGCCAAGTAATACATTCCTCACTGGTTTGCAAATGGGGGGGCCTGCGCCCCCCAACCCCCCCGATCTTTTTCAACATGGGCCTGTGTGATTGCCCACCACATCTACATCTCCTGGAAATCTGGCCCCAGAAGCTCCTAAAACAAGAGCTGCCACATTCCCTGATGGTTTGCAACTGGGGGGCTGCGCCCCACCCAACCCCCCTGTTGCTGTTGTTTTTCCACGCCAGACGGAGAACGGTGAAGATCGTAGAGCTAACAGAGAACCTAGGACAATTATGACATTTCATCCGCAGTAACAGCTGGTGCCTGGAGCGTCCTTGCAATTCTACATGAGAATGACAACCCTCTCCGCGCTCTAGCTGTTTTCCGGTTCGCGCCTGCCTGCTTTCTGATTCGCGTCCCTGGGTTTTTGATTCGCGCCGCCTCTGTTTTCTGATTCGCACCTTCCTGTTTTCTGCGTGGCGCACCCTGTTTTCTGATTCGCGGGGGCTTGATTCGCGCGTGCGTTTTCTGATTCGCGCTTCACCCCCCTGTACAACATGGAGAATTTCGGAGGACGCCTCTCCGAGGACGCCTCTCCAAGGACACATCTTATGCAGTTCTCCCCCCCTGTTCTTCTTCTACCCCAAGCCCCCTGGCCCTCGTATTGGCAGTGCCCTTCTGAGAGCTTTGAATCCCATGGTCAACTGTCGGGGAAGTAGGCTCCCTCTTATGCCTTTCCGACGAAGGCTGGCGAATTTATCCCTGCATAATTCACTGCCTTTCCAAAGGTGTTCAGGAGCTCTACTCTGCCCGATTCGATCAGCTAACACCACAATCGTGACATCACACCACAGGTGCCATTAGACTTCCCATCACATCGCGTTTGCCACTGCTCTACTGAATTGATTGTGCAATCTTCTCCTGGCATTTTGAAATCTCTGGCTCCAAATTTCCCGCTCCCCTCGTCAAAATAATGACTCAGCCTCAACACGCTACAAAGCCTAAATTATGCACTCGTTGACTCAGGGTTTTTCGACTTGTTTCGTTCGGTATGTTTCTGTTCCCCAGGTCTCTCCCAAAAAGCTTTGTTTCCTTCATCTTTACTGTCATTGCACCAGTTTTCCATCTGAATTGTTCGAGACTGTTCTGTACATTGTGCTTGTACCTATACCTGTCTTCCCTTCCCTCAAGGTCAATCAAGCACTGCACTCGTGTGTCATTAGGCCTCCAAGTTTTTTGCAGCCACGTCAACTCCCAGTTGTTTGTCAACTTCCTCCAGAAGTTTTGCCAGATCCTCTTCGTCTCGATGGGTCGGCCAATACCTTCTTTCCCTGTTTTCCCTCAGCATCCACAAGAGTCACAAGACGCATCGTTGCAGCTGTTGCGCCGTATCTCTGGCAGCCTCTTGTTCCGGATCTCCTGGACTCGCGGGTTCGGACTCATTGAGTCTTGCCAACCTTTAGAGGGGGCACTCTTTTCTTTCCAAACTTCGTTTCTTGCCTCACTCTCGTTCTCTCCCTGTCTCAATATACTTCTTTGCCCCTGCAGTCCCATACTCCCCTTGCAGTCCCCCTAGGCCCCGGAATCCCCTTGCAATGCCTCTACAGTCTCCTTCTTCTAATCCCTGCGACCCCAAAACTGCCTAGAATCCCTATGATCCGTTTCAAGCATCTCCCCAGAACCCTGGAGCTCTACTACCTTAAAAGTCCCTAGCAGTGCCTTTGGGCCTGCCTTCGTCATTCTTGGGCATGCTGAACCTCGGCAGGCTGGAAGTACAATGTTTGAGGTTCTAGGTTTTGTAGGGGCTTAGACTGCTTCATGAGGAAGAAATTTCTTGCAAATCTTGTCAGACAGTTGCTCTTGACCCCTTTCACTGGAAGCTGCTATGCGACATAGTGGTTTTCATTTTGCTTTCCGCTAGGAGAAGTGTGAAGATCCGAGGCCTCACGATCTCCCCGCACTCTTCGAAGTCCTTCTTCACCTGCTCTTCGCCTCACAACTTGAAGGATTTTGCATGACATGCAGCTTCTCAACACAAGGGCTGTTTGGGATCTTTGCGACGCTCCCGCACTAGGTGGCTGACTGGTGGAGAAAGGCAAGCCGCCAACAAAGACCTCGAGGGACTCCTCCCAAGTTCTCGCAAAACGAATTGCGGAATGACAGGTGGATTTCTCCATATGGGGTCTCTTATCCTACATCTCCTATATTGATGACAATGTTACACCCCATCAAGATCCCAAAACACATCCAACATCCCCGCAGCGCGCACGTCCTTGTCATTATCGCCTGGCCAGCTTGGGCAACAAAGAGGACCCAGCAATAATATGTGAGAGACTGTTCCCTAGAAGTCAGCATGCCTGGCGCTTTTGCCTGAATCAGACAACCCAATCCCTGGGCGAGTGATTCCAAGAGGAGAGGGTTTAGCATGTGTTGAAGATTACAGTACCATGTGCAACCTCTATTCCACGCTCGATGCGCCGAAGCGTCGCGTGGCGTCCAAGGTTCCCCTACCCCGGCATGCGTACTCTTGTTGCACACATGAGAGCCGGACTAAATCTCTTGCATAGCGCACCGACCATGGGAAAAAGGGTTGGCCCCTATCGGTTATGGGAGTTCTAGGGGGTATCGGCGGAGGGCTAACCCCTATAGGTTTTCGCTGAAAACGTACCATTTTGAATCTCGTGACCAGCCTAGACATGTTGCCTCTTCCATAGATTTAGTCCAACACTCACATCAGGCTAATGCCAGAAAACCTTTGCTTCTGCACGGGGCTAGTCCATTAAACAGCTTGCGCAGAAATGCAGTTGGCAAATTGCCCGCCTTCTAGCTTGATTCTCTTTGCCTGCATCACAGAAAATTTCAAGGCCAGAGGGGAAACCGTCACACACTAGTAGCATTTGAGGGGCTCTCGTCGTCAGGGGTATCGTTTTGATATCCCTATCACCACTCTTCAGAAATACCAAAGCTGAGTCGCACCTTCGGAGGGGGTGC